TTAATTATCTTTTAACCTAAACTGTGTGTGACTTTTAATTATCTTTTTTAACCTATAAAAGAACTTACGGGGACATAGTTTTCATTCAGAAGAAGATATTAATGTGGCTATAAATACAATTTTTCATAAATTCCAAGAAATGGAAGGTTTTAGGTATTTAATCTGTGTGAAAAATTCGTCTACAAAATGTATTGATACTAGAGGAGACTACTTTGAACACTCCAAAAATTTTGTGAGTATAACTTTAAAAACCTAGAAGCATCTCAAAAATTTCAAAAAACCCTCGTATTCCTAAGTTCACAAAAAAAAAAAAAAAAAAAAAAATACAAAGAAGCTGTAGATACAAGTGCCATTCTCGTTATTCGATCTTGGCTTAGAATTACGAAGTCTGTTGCCAATAACATATGATGCTGATGTAAAATGGTAGTAGATACTGGTATTATGTGTGTGAGTATCATTCAAATAATTCAATCAAGTTTATATTTTCCAGGATTTATCGCGATAACATGCTATAACTTTCAATAAAGCAATAATCTTAACTAAATTGAATTACCAAGTAAATTATTAGATTGAAAATACTATTCTATAATATATAGAAAAATCCTAATATTCGTAAGAAAATCCTAGAAAACAAAGGCATACCTAATTATGCCGAAGCCAAGATCAAGGTTACAAATTACCTGTGCAAAACCACAGCACCTGGTAATGCTGAAGCCCAATTCAAGATCAACACAGCCTTTTTTAAAGAAACGTTTTCAGAACTCCACGTATTACCACATTGTTGTTGCCAACTGATTTTGTTCTTTACAATAAATAATTCTTTGTTGGATATGTTTCTTTTTAATTCACAACAGTGAATATGACGAGATCGACACTTTAACTGGTACCCTATTATTCACAACAGATGCTCCAGAGCAGGGATTCCTAACGGTATCCAAGTAAACCCCTTGGTGGTTTATGGAAATTAAAAAAAAAAAAATGTATGGTATTCCAGGGGTTGATAGCAATATTTCCTGTTTTAATTTTTTTAATTATGTATTGTAATTAAATGCCCGTTTTAATATATGCATAGATATAATATAGATTTGCATATAAAGTAAGTGAGCTACGCATCTGAAAGGAATGTCGTGTCGCTTTTGTATATTCGCAGTCGGTTTTTATCGTCCACTTTAACCTGGCATAACTCGCGCGAAAAAAACGACCGTAAGTTCTCGCAAAGGGTATCTCATACCCAAGCGTGTTTACATTCTGTTTTTACCGTAAAAATTACGTACAAAAAAAGGAAGAAAAGTAGGAAATACATTATGTATATTACATTTTTTACACGTTATTTTTTCTGTTCTTTTTATAAGGGCATTCAGTGCTTAGTTTGTACACTCCTTTAATCTCGGCGCGAGTGAGTGCGATGTTTTCACTGGATCTTAATTTTTTTCAATCTGTATCTTTTTAAAACTAAACATATAGGAATAAACTATTCTATTCTTGACATTAAAAAAAAATGAAAATTCTTTTTTATTTGCTCTTTTTGTTCCAGCAGTTTTTTTATTTTTTTATTTCAAAAGTTCATCTGAAAGTGGATAAGATGTGTACCACTGATATGTGGTCTCCTTTAAAATTACGTTCTGCCCAAATGTTTTGTGCCTCTACATATAAAACGTTTGTTTTCAACAGTGTCTCTTGAATCTGGATCAATTTCAGTGGAGGAATCATGCTTGCTGTTATATTCTTCATAATTAGATTCTTCCTCATCTTAACCTCGAAGAGAATTTCTTCATCCGCAGATACTGTTATACTATATCTATTAACCTTTTACACGCCACAATGTTCCATTATTAGAACATCAATTTTAAAATTTTCTGAAAAATTCAAATTTATTGATATTGTTCCGTAAAAATTATTTTGAAGAGAAAAAATATGAATTATTTTTTGGAATTGAAGTGCTGTTGCTAAAGTCAATTGTCTCTCCGAGAAAAAATTTCTAAATTATGTATTTTTTTTTTTTTTTACTTTTGATCGGGCAAAATTCAAAATTTCATATAAA